AAAAAAAAAAAAAAAAAAATCTCTCATGAGTTCTCTGCTTACAGTTCCTTCTGATAATTGCATATGTAAGCCATACTTAATGCATGCCTACTGAGAGTTTCCTGTTTCTGTTCAATAGAATAACTCTATTACTTTTCTCATCTGTCTTTTCTCGGTAAATTTGAGAAGTTACAGTATGATTTTTGCAAACTAGAGCAGTTTTGATGTTTCTATAGCCACCATCTATGTTAATCAGAACCATATAAATGCAGCGGATCAAGATTAAAGGGATAAAAAGAGACTCTTGGTTCCGAAAAGACTACTTGCCCTTCAGGATTAAAGATGACGAACAAGTGAATCTTGATGATGTCCGTGCTGTGTTTGACGATATTGAGGTGGAATTCCATTTTATTATTATAGCATATTTATCAACTTTCATTGTATATTTTGGAAGATAAGTATAATACTCCCTTTCAATCTATGTGTCCTACTTTCCTTTTTAGTCCATTTCAAAAAGAATACCTTTTTATCTTTGATAAGTTTTTAGTTCCAACATTTCCATTTTACCTCAAGGTTCAAAGGTTTTTTTGGTATGTTATACACACCTTTAGTTGAAGACTACAAGATTCAAAAGTCTTCTTTACATTCTTAAACTTCATGCCTAGTCAAACTAAGACACAAGATGGAACAAAGGGAGTATTAAATTTAAGAGAATTCTTATAGTATCAAGATAGATCCAATGATAACTGATGACTCCGTATTGCAATATCCTCATCTATTCTGTGTGGCTAAATTTAATATGCTGTTGCATCTTCAATTTTGCAGGGGGAACTTGTAAGCGAGAAATCTGTTAATAGTGATAGTAGCCCCTTGGTAATGAATGCATTTGAGATAATGACGCTTTCTTGGGGAGAAATTAGCAATTATTCTCATCTATTCTGTGCCTAAATTTGATATCTCTTGCATCTTCAATTTTGCAGGAGGAACTTGTAAGTAAGAAATCTGAATATAGTGAGGGTGGCCCCTTGATAATGAATGCATTCGAGATGATCACACTATCTCAGGGGTTGAATTTAGCAGCCTTATTTGACAGGCGTCAGGTACAGTGATTATTTCAGTGAACAAAAAAAAGGTCGAGCAAACCTTAGTTTCCTGTCATGCAGTCTTTCTGTTTCTTCCTACTGCATATATCTGTTGTTCTTTCCTTCTCTTTTATTTTTCCTGGTTTTTGCTTTAAACTTTTCATTTGTGCAATAAGAGAGGGGGTTGATGGAAGCTGCAAAGGTTTCTTCTATAATTTCTTTAGCGTAGTGTTTTCCTTTAAGAAGCAAGCTAGTTAGCCTGTCTCTGTGCTTATGTTCTTTTCTACTTTTTTTCTCCCTTTTTTGTTGATTGGATACATGTGACATGAAAACATGCTTCGTAGTGACCAACCATTTGTTTATACGTCGTCTTACATTATGTATGACGTTTATACGTCGTAGTGACCAACCATTTGCTTTTTAATTATTTGTACGTTTATACGTCGTCTTAAATTATTAGAAATCATTAAAAAGCCTTAATACTTTATCCTTGGTACTGAACATTGTCTCATCACGAGAATGGACTAAAATTTTATTTGACAATGTTGAACCGTCATTAATGACTTTGTTTGATCTCTTTGAACCTAGATCTTGGGATCTCCAGTCTTCTAGGTAGAGTTACCGCCACAATGACTTGTTCTCGGCCATAGCCCCATTCCCCTTGATGATTTCTCAACTACCTCTCTAGTTAGGCCTTTTGTAAGTGGATCCGACACATTATCACTTGACTTTA